TTGGGAGCTCTAAAGCAAACCTATAGTTTTCGCGTCCTCTCTGAGATTCGTTTTGCAGGTGTCTTGTTCGGATGGGAGTAACTTGCTGTTCGAAGACACGGTGTCTTTTCGCCGGCGGATCCATCACCCTGGGCGAGAAACACTGAGCGAAAGCACTGGACGAGCCAGTGAACGGAGGGCCTTCAGCTTTGAACCGGTCAAAGCCGTAGGTGAGTGGGTCAAGTTCACCGAGTCAAAGCACTTCAGTCTATGCCATGCTTACCTGCAAGAAAGTTCTTCTTCTCCTCCTCCTCCTTCTTCCGGCAGCTCAACACCGTTTTGAGGCTGGGGAAACAGCAACGGGGACAACCCCAGGCGGAGCCTCAGAAATGTGGTGGAGCAAGAATCCATCGTCACCCGCTCAACCCAGGTTCCGCGTCGGCTGGGGGATAGACAACCGGGGTCAGAACCTCGGTGAAATGCTAGCACGCTGGAGATGAACATGAAAGAAAGGTGTGCAATAAAAGAGAGAAAGGAAAACATGACGTATCTGGTTCTGTTTCTTGTTATTCGTCCTTATTTTCCCTTCTGGATCGTCCCTATTTTCCCTGCTGTTTCATTTGTTCCTCTTTTCTGTGATGTGTTGAACGATCTTTGTCTTTAATGGCATTGGGCTGGCGTGGAAGAACTGAGGTGAAATGCTGCAGACAGAAGATGGAATAGGAAAGACAGCGGATTTGGAATTGCAGCTAGGGGGTGGGCCCACCCTTTGATAGCGTCTAATCCTCCGAGCTTTGAAAAACTTTTTTGATCTTGGCATTGGGATGCGTGAAGGGTTCGTTTCAGGCGTTTGAAATATACACTTGTTCTCGCACCTCTTGCAAGGGGTCGGCGGGGGGGAGGTCTCCCTTTTCAACACATCCAAATCATTTGGGCAAGCTCCATGCTGTCAACTGCTCCCTTAGGCGCTGCCATAAAAAACATCTAACATCCGCGATAGGTCATGGGTCAAAAAGGAAAGCCCGGTCTGAGCCCTTGAATCCAGATTTTTTAGGCTCCTGAGTCCAGGTCCCCGAAAATCACCACCTCACAGGACCTCACACCTTGAAAATAAGGCCTCCGGTTTGAAGCAAGGAGGATTCGAAGACCTCGAAAACCTCAGGCTTTCAGGAGATCCAGTCCCACTCTTGACACATTTGGATGTCGGATGTGAAGCCTCAAAACTCCTGGATGAAATCCCCAAACACTTTGTTCAAAGCAAATAAACACTTGGGAAGACTGAGCCGTTCTTTCATCTTCACAGGGGGATGGTCGGAGCTTTATGAAGTCGTTTTTCGGCGATGCGTATCAGCCCCACTTCCTGGAGCTGGAGCCGAGGAGATGGTTTGGATGGTGAATGGTTTGGATGCGTGTGCTTCGAAAAACGGTCGTTTTCACGAAATCATGTGCTGTGTGCTTTTGTTTTCCGTCGCCAATCAACTGGGTGGTGCTGATACAGTCCTGAAAAATGGGTTTCCCTGGATCAATGGCCAACAGCCAATCGCCAACCGTTTCGAGGCCCACAGGCCCACAGGCGCAGTGATTGTACTGCAGAGCACTGCAGGGTGTTCTTCTTTCCGGTGTTGATTGACACCTTGCCAACACCACGATACAGCACTTGATAGCGCATCCCTAGTCTCAACCAGTTTTTGCCAACCTGGGTTCTATCCACCCAGCTAAGTTTCCCCTCATTTGAACACCCTGATGTCACCCGAGTGGCAGGCTTGTCCAACTGGTGAGAAGTTGAACACCCAGAGTGGTTCAGTGTAGCCAATGCCACCTGCAGCTAAGTTTCCCCTCATTTAAGTGTGTCTCACTTCAACCTCTTCTCCTTCTTCCAGCAGCTCAACACCGTTTTGAGGCTGGGCAAAGCATCCCCAGGCGGAGCCTCAGAAATGTGGTGGAGCAAGAATGCATCATCACCCGCTCAACCCAGGTTCCGCGTCGGCTGGGGGATAGACGACCGGGGTCAGAACCTAGGTGAAACGCTAGCATGCCGGAGATGAACATGAAGGAAAGGTGTGCAATGGAAGAGAGAAAGAAAAACATGACGTATCTGGTTCTGTTTCTTGTTATTCGTCCTTAATTTCCCTTCTGCTTGTTGTTATTCGTCCTTATTTTCCCTGCTGTTTCTTTTGCTCCTCTTTTCTGTGATGTGTAAAACGATCTTTGTCTTTAATGGCCTTGGGATGTGCTAGGTGCTTTTTCTTATTCTTTCCTTGTTCAACGTCGGATCTGACTGGGGGGGGTCTGTCCTTGGTCTCCCTTGATATCCTGTTTGAGGAACAAAAAGTGTACAACAGGTGGAAGATTCACACGTTTCAAGTAAAGGGCAAGGTTTATTGACATGATGTTGCGGTGCTAAACGTGCTTGCCTCGTTGAATGCATCATGAGCATCTCTTTATCAGATCAAAAAAATAATCGGATTGATCTGAGGTAGACCAAACAAACATGGATGTGGAAAAGATAGCTTCTAGGCTTGCTGTAGTATGTTGGAAATATATATAGAAAAATAACTCTACATGTTGAAATCATGAAACGCTCCTTCCACACCATCTTGGGGCTTGGGCAGACCCTGCACTGCACCTTTTTCTCGGCTCTGGGTCGATTTCACCACCCCGACCGTCTAACGATCACATCTGCTGGCTCATCCAAAAAAAGACGGCGCAGTGGTTTGCGCAGACTTTTAAGAATACTCACCAAGAAAGATGATCGTCACTGAAACTGGTGGTCACTCGACCGTTCTCCTCTCCACCAAAAAAACACACCACCCTTCCTGACATGGTGCGTATCAGGTATCAGAACAAGACTCTCCCGAAACACGCACCTTCGGAAAAAGAAAAAGGCTCCAAGATTTCTCCCTAGTTCATGTGTCATATCTCCGCCGCACCGATCGCACCCTTCCTCGCGCCCTTCCACCGGAGACCGATCAAATCCGGAACCCGGAACCCGGTCCCGACGCGGCACCGATCCACCCGCACGTGCGAACCCGCCGCCACTCCAACGCCGAGCGCGCGGTGGAGCGTCGCACCGAGGCACCTGGGTCGACCGCAGATTCCATGGGTTTTTCTGCTCGGGTCGACCTCAGGTCGACCGCACGTTCTCTCCATCTCTTCCCCAAAACTCTGAGAGTGCTGAAAACCCTGCCTCCGCGGCCATGGCACATTTGACCATCCATGGCGCCGAAAACGATGCCAAATCAGGCCGAGTGGCGCTATCACCTCACGTTCGCTGTTCATCCAGTGGTCTTCATGCAGGGTTGATTACTGAATACTGGGAGAACTTGCCTCTGAAGTAAACTAAACCCAGTAGCTGTAGCTGAATCTGAAGCGGCCCTATAAATTTATTTGAGCTTGATGTCGCCAACGGCCCAACACCCGGAGAATCCGCGCATGAGGCCTCCAAAGCCTAAGCAAAATCCCTCAAAATATTGGACTCGCATCAATACTGCCAAGATTCCCAAAACCTGGGACTCATAATGCTCTCATGAAAAAATCTATACGAATCTCGGCTATCACTAGGAGGGGATTTCTATGGATTTCTAGATCTACACCCGGAATCACCTCAGGAGCCATTGGCTTCCAGGCACCCCAGCACGGCGCCATGCTCGACCTCAAACAGGTCCCACGCAATCGCAAGCACTGCAACGGTGGCGACGGTGGCGTCTTTTTTCGGCCCCAAAAGGCCAGAGGACGAGCCAAGTTTCACAGCGCCCCCAACTTCGGCGCCCCTGGGCACGAGATCTATAAGAAGTGATTGGGGAAGCAGTTCAGAAAACAAAAGGAAAAGGTATTCGGGCAAGCGTGGTTACCACGCCTCTTGTATAAGATGGTAGCGGAATTCGTGAGCGATTCAGAACGATGTTTCATGGATTCTTCTGGATCTCGAAGCAGGAGCCTCAGCGAGTCCTGCCGGTTCTACGCTGCCCCGCCACCGGATCCACATCAACACCAATGACATCGCAACCAGGACCTGTGATTCTTTGGAGGTTGCAAGGGGAACCCTCCTGAGCTCACGAAATCAGAAAGGAGCTCCCTTTTTGGCTCAGTTTGTAATGGTGAACACCTAGAGAAGAGAAGAGCAGGATAGGCACGAAGGAGTATGGGATTGAAAGAGCCTGTATAACCTGGAGATGTACTCAGGAAGATGAGGGATCCACAGCCAGGCGACCATCATTTACATCTTTCAGACTCGACCTTTGGGCGAGCCTCACTCATTGCAGGCTGCAACAGCACTGCTGAGGATAATCCTCGGCATTGACTCTCATCTCCTGCAGTTGAGACCCAGTCCGTTTCGAAGACCTGACATCCTTGGACACTAGCGTTGGCCTCCAACCTACTAGCGATGGCCTTCTCAGATAGCGCACCCCATCCGTGACAGACGATCCCACCAGGGACCCCTCATGACATGTGTGACCGACCGTCGCATGGCGACATGGCTTCGGAACCGAACGAGTCGACGCTCGGCAGCGTCATCCGCAGTGGATGAGCACAGTGGGTGGCACTGAATGATGTGAGTACTCAGTACTCAGATGTACTCGGTGCAATATGCAAGATGACAAATATCTGCAGTGGAAGTGGAACAAAAAAGAACAGAACAGAAGGATTGAGACGACCTATTGAGCCCCAAAAAGGGCACCGAGACCACCGATGACCGTCCTCGCCATAGACGAGGTACTGAAATGCCTCGAGCCCGATGGCTTCACGAGCCGACTCGACGCCCGTCGGCTCGACGGTGGGTGACTCGAGCGAAGCCGGTGGCGCGCGAACGAGTGGCGAAAGAGCACTCTGTGCATCTCAAGAGAACTGCGGAAATCTGGTCACCCAGATAAACCTGGCAACAAAGGCTTCTGGAAAGTTCTTTGATGTTCTTTGTCTGCTTGCGAAATTTCTCTCTCTCTCTCTCTCTCTCTCTCCCCTCAAAAAGGGCTGCATCTCCCTGTGTTGGTATACAATGAACCTCCATCGGATCTGCCCAACTGTGGCGATCCGACGGGCGCCCGGGCCTGGCTCGGCTCGGCCGAACCAACCGTCCGACCCGACGGTGCGGTGTCGAACATCGGTGCGGTGGGCTTGGACCGTCCCGGGGACCCCGGGGTCTGACCGGTCCCGCCTTGTTTCCGTAGACCGCATCGACGCGGCAGGCGGGCAAGCTCTTCACCATGAGTTGCTGGAAATGCAACTGACCACCTGAGACCAAGGCGTCTACTTCGATTTCGGACATCGACTTCTGCCAGGGGTTCAACAAGCCATCAGTCTCATCAGTTGAATTCACATCATCATTGCACCTCCTCGGATCCGTTTCGTTCCGACCCCCAACAACACCGTCATCCCCAGCCCACCGCACAGCGATCCGGACCGGTCCCGGTCCCGGGTCCGGGTCGTTCACGTCGTGAGGTCGACCGTCCCAAAGAAACGAAGCTAGAAAATGCTAGAAAGACCGTGAAAAGAAAGCACTTGGGGTCAGGATTTGATCTCCACCCCACTGCGCCAAAGTCCTTTGTGTGTGTGCAAGACAACTCGCGTTCTAGCCGCAATTTTATCCAGGAACGCGGCAATTGTATCCCAGGAGGAAAAAACAAATGAGACGACGCACCTACCAAAAAGGTTCACTGTGAAAGTCCCATGGGTCATTGGGCAGATCTTAGTCACCGTAGCAGTGAATGTGGCAAAGGACTTCCGAAGACCGCTGATACAACTACTATCCATCAGAAATGTTTCTCCGTCCTTGCAGCTTTTCCAGCCAAGGCGCCTTTGTTCTTTGTCTGGGCTTCCTTCAGCAGCTGATTCACCAGCTCCTGACACAGTCTACTTGGTGTGTTCGGTGTTCCTAGGGCCGGATCTCGGGTGGACCTCGGGGGATGATCCGTGCAGAAGTCCCCCGACGAGCGCGGTGGGCAGCTGCGCACTGAGAATGAACAGATCTCTCGATCTCATCGAGATGAGCTCTTGAACCCGACTCCTGGGGGCGCCAATTCTTGCGCCAAATAAAGACCAACCACGACCGGTCGCGCGGTCCAACCGGGTAGACCAACCCGGTCGTTACGACCGGGCGTCCGTTGGTCCTTGAGGCGTTGGACGCTGATCTCTTTCACCACTTCCCCAGACCTCAGACCGGGAGGATGAGAGTAACAAGAAGCGACTAGGTGGTATTAGGTTGGAGGCCATTGCTACTATAGTAGCAAGGACGCTATTAGGTGGAGGCCATTGCTACTAGTAACCGGGAGGATGAGGCCAAAACGGAGAGACCCAAATCGAACCGAACCGACGGACGGGTGGGTGCGGAGGCCCAGGCCCCGGCCGCCGACGGAACAGTCGACCCCTCCCACGACCTCTTGGGGAACCCGGCGTCCAGGCCTTTCTGGGGACGTCATGTTACGGGATGGCCCTTGATAAGCAAAATGAAGGAAACCATCTCCACCCCACACCTCATGCGGGCCAGACTTGGTCAATCCCATGCACTTGTTCCTGGTCTTGTTCATGTCTTCCAAACACCGGCAGATGATCTATAAGATCTATATATGCTGCATATGTATGCAGCATTCAGCTGGCTGTTCTTCTTTTAGCTGAGCTTCTCAAGAACTTTAGCCTTGAAGAATTTCGAAGAGCCTTGCGCCTCTCGCAGTTCGCTCATGGTGGGACTGGACCCGCTCTCATCGAGCTTTCGTTCCTCACAGAACGCTGGACGAAGGAGAAAGGGCAACAGGCGGAACGGAGGACGGCTGGGACGTGCCACGCTGGGGCTTGGCATGGCGACGAAGGCACTACGAGCTGCTCCACTAACCAAATTTCAGTCATTGGGGAAGGACTTGTCTTTTTGCGCCAGCGCTTTGGCGCGACTGGCACAGCGGCTGATCTTTTCCCCAGGAAGCAATTGGTGCGGACCAGCGCTCCGATTGATCAGGGTGGCTCGCCTTCTGGTCGGAAAAGCATCCCAAATGCCAACCCGGGGTTTTGAAAGACGCCCAGCATTTGATAGTTGTTGGCTCCAAGATTTTCTCTACACGAAAACCCCAAGCCCCATTTGGAGTGAAGCCCACTTTGGTGAGGTTCCGAGGGAGCCTAACTAGGGGTGCCACCTCGATCAGACCCTTGTCGGACATGTCGGACGTGTCGGCCGGGAGACGGCCCAGCAAACCCTTGGCTTTCAAGTCCGAAACAGACTTAAATCAATGAATGGCTCCTTCTTCAATATACCAGCTTGGATTGAACAGTGGCCCGGTCGGTTCAAAACAATGGATTGTGCGATTGTCCCCCAAGTGACCCAATGGTGATTCCTGGCGCGTCTCCCTGCTTGGCCTGCTTGGTTTGTTGGTTTACGGTTTGGGACAGTAGCGAAGGTCTGCATTGCATCAATTCCCACCAAAACAAACAAAGAAATGTAACTGTATATAACGACTATCAATTAATCTGCTATGAACACTACACTACACCCCCACTCACAACAATCTTGCCGTGAACGCCTATGTGACCACCACAACAACAACAACAACAGCAGTAGCCACGACCACAACCAGCACCACAAAAAAAGGTATGTATGTGTGTGTGTGTGTGTAGTCCCACCAAAAGCACCACACATGCTCTGCTTCTCCGAGTGTCCAGGACAATGTTGCTGTGCTGCACGGTGAGCTGTTGGTAGTTCACCACATCTCCATAGCCATCGCATTTCTTGCAAGACACAGTGCCATGGTGACACTTCTTGCAATCCTTCCAGCCCCAGCCCTGCGTGCATCTGGTTGGATCTTCAGGCAGGCTGGCAGGCTCTCAAGAAGGTCCAAAAAAATTGGAAATCCTGGACATCCTATAACCTGACGATCCATTCTTACCGTAAAGAAAAGCGGGGGGGGTGGGGGGTGAATACCACCGAAAGTGAAGAGACAGTGACACACACGATGTCCAGAAGCTTTCTTAGTTTCCTAGGTGTGAAACAGTCATAGTGGTTCCGGACAAATCTGCTACCTTATGGCTCGTTGGGCTTTGTTTCCACGCAGACCAGCGAGCCGAAGAATTGGGCTCTTGCCGAAAGGGCCTTCCACTCGTGGGCCGGACGCTCCACCAGAGCCAGGTGGCCAGAACGTTGAAGAACGTCGTCTCAATGAGCCCAAAAAGGGGGTAGTCAGGGTAGTCAAACACCAATTGAACTCTGGTTGGGGGCGTACAAAGAGGCAACCCCCCTAGCTTTTAGACCTGATCTTCTTGGTGGAATTTTTGGTGAACCCGCACAGTCTTCGACCGGAGCTCTCCCGTGGTAATCTGTTTTGCTTCATCGCCGGGGTTTGTGTCCACCGTTCGCTGTCGCCACTCACACACCTCGATCCGAGACCTTCCCCGGTGCCTCACAAAGCCGGCAGGACACGAAGCCAGTGCTTCGGCAATGGTCGCAGTGGTCGATGGTTTCCGACGCAGGGCGGCCCTTGCCTTTGCCTTTGGTATCCTCGGTGAAGGAAACAGTGACTCAGCAGGGTCCAAGGCTATGCAAAAAACAGACTTGCTTGAGAGTGGCCCAACAGTTTGCCGAAAAACAGAAAGTGGCCTGGCAGGGGCTCTTACGTCGCCCACCTGAACGGAACACGCCCTGGCAACGCAGGAAGTGGTCCAAAAAGACCACCAGTGTAGCGGTCCGGCGGTCCTCCCAAATCACCCCAGGTATAGCAGAGGCGGGCCAAGTCTCTTTGAAGGCTCTGCCATCGCATTGCGGACACCACATCCACTTCTCTCCGCGGCAGTCCTTGCACCAGCTCCAGCCTCCAAACTCGACAAAAATCGCCTTCAAAACGACGGCATGTGTTTTGGGCGAAGCGTCGGAAACCAAAAAAAAGTCGGGAGCTTGAGAAGAGGGACAGAAAGAGGTGGTCGATGGAATTCATTCATTCCAGCCTGTTGACAGAGGATGGCCTTGGTCTGAAGATCTCATTTTGTGAAACCAGTGAACTGATTCGGAATCTTGCGGCCTATGCGGGGCATCAGTTTTGCGCAATATGATTAACCTTGCTAGATCTTGAAAACGCTCATTTGGAGAAAGTCGGGCAGGCTAACTGCTGACTCTTGATAAAGTTCCAACTGAAGTGGGTATCTGTGATGACTACTTCCATGACTACTTCCAAAAAAACTTTCTCACTGTGCCAACCCGGAGTATCGATGAGAATTTCTACCCAATTTGCCGATGTTGGAAACGATTTCTAAAACAATGGTAAAGAAGTTTCGCTCTTTGATCTATCTGAGAACAAATAAAGATGGGCATGCCGAAAAATCTGAAACCCACGCACAGCAACTGAGCATTCTGCTGAAACCACATTAGTCTAGTCTAAAGGGTCATCAGAGATCAGGCTACCATCCCTCTCATCTAAATCTACATGCGACCCTCATCCATCTTGCGACCCTCCTGTGTACCCTCTATTCATGATGATGATGAGGACTCGTCTCCGCTGCTTTCTCCGCTGACTTGGGCGCCTTGACCGTTGCACGGTTCGCAGCTCAGCTTGCCTGTCCCCGTGCACTTCCCGCACCTCGGTGCTCGTCGCAGGTCAAGTGAGGCATGCGACAGGGAGGTTTGTGGAGGCCAAAGGCCAAAGAGTACCCAAGTTGGAGGCCATCGCTAGTCGGTTTTCAGGCCTCCGGCCAGATGGTGAAGGAGAAATGGCAACAATCCGTGGTGTTCGTATGGATGCCAAATGCCTTCTTCTGGGGTTGGAACAAGAAAATGTTCATCACAGGAGTGGATGCGTGTGGCTTCCAACGTCTTACGACCTTGGGACGGTGAACAATCTTGGGACGTGATGTTTCCTGCCACAATGGCCAAGGAAAGCTGGATTCTACGTTGAGGTCTACCATCACCCAAATGTTCAGGCCAAGAAGTATATAAAGTATCGCCACAAGCAGGGCTCAGTGGAGAGAGAGAGAGAGAGAGAAAAACTGTGGCTACTGCTATGCCAATGGCCAGCATTTTTCTGAACTGGATGACTGAATGAATGTGCGTGGCTTCTGCACCTGTAGAAACTCAAATCACAACCGCAGCAGAAAATACCTCTGTTGCTCAACAGAATTCCCTTCATGTCTGGCCTGCAAAACCAGGCTTCCTGCTTCGATATGCTCTGCATCGACCGTTGGCGAAGTGGAGTTCACCCCTGCGTTTGGTCTTCGGATTTCATGCTCAGAACCCCCGACATCCACTTCGGACGGATGCCGTGCACTTCGCGTCGTGTTAGCCCATCCACTTCGGATCCTGGAAGAGCCCGACCTTTTAGAGTGTTCTGCGCTTCTTTTTAGAGCTCTTTTTCGACGGTGGCCATCTCCGTACTTAATTAGGCAGGCGCCTACTAAGGGCAGTGGATGCAGGATAGCTCGCGCTTCAAGGAAGCTCCAACCCCGCCTGAGGGCGGAGTTAAGCTTCCTTGAAGCGCTTGCACGATTCATTTGATTCCTAGATTCATGTCTTGAATCAAAGGTGATCGTTTCGGCCAGACTCAAAGCTTTTTGGGTTTCAACCATGTTCCACTCCACTGTGGAACATTTACGTCAGTGGAGTCACTCAGTGGAGTCACAAAGGACATATCGTTGTCCGGAAGGGAAGGCACATCGGTGCTTTTCGGTCCTTTTTCCTACCACGTCTCAGGTGCAATGTGTGACGGCCCCATCTCCTCCCGTTGCATGCCCCATCGATTCCCCATTGATTCAAGACACTTGGCCACCACATCCTGAGAGGCTCGAAGGTTGAAGTTCGTGGCTCGAAACTCACCAAGTCGGCAGTGCTTCTCTAAGTCGGCAGTACTTCTCTACTGTGATCTTGGCCCCCCCCCCCCGGTGGCTTAAACAGAAGAGCCATCAAGCAATACAAACGCCCTGCCTTACCACCGGTCATTGTCCGAAATCACTCACTTCTCAAAGCTGCAAAAACAAAGGAAAACAAGGCTTCAACAGGCTACGATAGGCTTCGATGATACCAAACCAACACTCTCCAAGCCAAAGTCACTTCGCCACCACCATCTGTTTGAGAGGAGTTTCCTCGTCCCTTACGCCTTTGAACCTATCAGACCTGGTGAGACTCTTCATCACCCATGAACGGTGCACTCCCAGTGCGCACGGTGCATCAGCGAGCTCTGTGCCATGGAATTGGGAGGCGAGGGTTTTCTCAAGCGCAGCAATAGACGATTGTACAGTTTATTGTATGAACTTGTAAACCCAGGCAGTATCACTGGTTTACCTGTGAGTAGTTTCATCAATGAAATCATGAAACCCTCACAGTTCTCCAAGCATCTGTGTGGGGCACTGTGTAGTATTTTTTCGACTCCTCGAAGTTCTTCATCTGTTTCACTTGAATGTTCCACATGGAAGGGGCTGACCCATTCCTGAGTGAACTGCGCAAAAACTGTCCAGAGCCCCCAGAGGGTGCCTACATGATAAACAAAAAGAAACAATATTGAGATCAGCTACCTCTTCCAGAAATTTGTTGTTAACACCTATATACCTCTGTCTATTCAGTGCAGGCCTTTGAAAACCGAAAGAGTTCACCTCCAACGTCGGGGTCTTCGGCGAGTGAAACAGCGCCCCCCATAGACGAAAAGAAGCGGTAAGTGACCGATCCAGCGACATGTAGGTCCGACTGGCGCTAGAACTTGGACTGGATTTAATGGCTTACGCCTAACAGCCGGGCGCGGGCACACTAGGGTCTGTGTAGGGCTGGGTCGGGTGAGCCAAGTTGGCCCATGTGGTCTATGTTGGGCACATCTTGGGCCCATGTTGAGCCTATGTTGGGCCTATGTTGGCCTATGTTAGGCCTATGTTGGCCTATGTTGGCCTAGGCTGAGCCTATGTTGGGCCTATGTTGGCGTATGTTGGCCCCATGTTGGCCTATGTTGGCCCTATGTTGGGCCATCTTGGAGGCTATGTTGGGCATATGTTGGCTAGGCTATCTTGGGCCTAAGTTGAGGATATGTTAGGCAATATAAGTCGTCTGGAGGGCCTCTACCCACAAAATGTCGATTATGCTTCTCCGCCCAGCGCGCATTACCGACACCACTCTTGAAAAACACAGCGTTTTTGCATTTCTCCATCTTCGCCGCGTCGTGATTCGATATGCGCAATAAACCCTGGAAAACACAGTGTCTTTATACCTCACACCCACGAAACATTGAAAAAAAAAGGGGGGGGCTTCAGTGACCCGGACGTCCCCCATTTTCATGACGAGGGTCGGCGGCAGGGGAGGCGACCGTATATCCGGCCAGGGGCGTATGCCCCATCTGGCCGTGTCCTGCGTATTGCACTTCTCCTTCTGCGAAACAGAAAGCAAAGCCGACCCCTGCCGCCGACCCCAGAAAACTCAGTGTCTTTGACGTGTTTTTTTCCGCGCTTGTTGCTCACGATGGGTCAACATAGCCCAACATAGGCCAAAATAATGTTGGAAATGCGTTCCGCACCGGTGTGCTTCGTCTGCATCGTAGGCGGATGCTGGACTAACGTAGGCCGAAGCTAGGCCAACATAGGCTCAAGCTGAGCCAACATGGGCCCAACATGGCCCAAGCTAGACGCAAGCTATGCGCAACATAGCCCCAAGACCGTGCAACAAAGGCTCCAGATGGCCTAAGCTAGACCCAAGCTGTGCGCAAC